AAATCTGACTTTATTCTCGCAATTCCGAGATTATATCTCACAATGCTGATGAGGAAAAACAACTCGTCATTCTCTCTTTTCCCCTCGGCTCAGAATATATATCCCACACTTCTGGCTTTTTTCCCTCAGAATTGACAAACTCACTATTTTTGAGTTAAATCAAGTTATAAAGTCAGAATTAGGAGATATAAACTTGCATTTGCGAGAAAGTCATAATTGTGAGATAAAATAAATAAATGTTATGTAAAATGTTAATAGTAATAGGTTTAAATAATATTTCATGCTGCAACTGTAGGGCTAAGTTAATACAATACGTACCCTATGAACTGCATATGTGAATATTATGTAGACTTATTGTTTAAATCAAATTTATGCTTTAAAAGTAAAGTAATCATAGCAGTTTTCATCCATAGTCTGTCCATTTAAACGTCTGTGTTTAGCTTCAAATGGCGTCTTTGATGACAGTATTCTATAAAAATTATTTGCATTCCGATTCTGACATCCAAAGGCACAACAATAAATGTTTTTCTCTTATTCCATGGATTTTACCCGTTTTCCTTCCACTTGTTCCCAGTGTTTTTCTGCCACCACTATGCGCGCGCAGCTGCATGTGACGTAACTGTGACGTCTACTTCAAATTGGTCTATAGGGAATTTATGATCATGGACACGTTTTTTTGTTTGTTTTTTCTCATCAATTATTTGTAATTAACATGGCAGTGTTCCATTAAAAAATGGCCATTGTATTTGGTTGAATGCGGATGGTGTTAAGAATGTTTTGTGTCTTACAAATGCGTGATGTGTTGCAGAGACGCTGCAGCAGTGCTGTGATTTGTCCCAGCTCTGGTTCCGTGAGTTCTTTCTGGAGCTCACAATGGGTCGCCGCATTCAGTTCCCAATTGAGATGTCCGTGCCCTGGATCCTTACCGACCACATCCTGGAGGCTAAAGAGGCCTCTATGATGGAGTGAGAACCAAAAATTCAATTAATACATTAATTAATGTACTATACATGTGCAAAAAAGAATGCTTTTATGAAATATGCTTCTAAGTATGTCTGATCTCTACAGGTATGTGTTATATTCATTGGATCTGTACAACGACAGCGCACACTACGCTCTCACAAAGTTTAAAAAGCAGTTCCTTTATGATGAGATTGAAGCTGAGGTAAAAGCCCTCTTGAAAATCATTTGAAGCAGTTATTGCATTGCTAATTTAATTTCTTCTACTCGAGTTTCAATGTTCTTTTAAGTGATTGTGCGTCTGGATTTTTTTCTCTTTCTCCCAGGTGAACCTTTGCTTTGATCAGTTTGTCTACAAACTTGCTGATCAAATTTTTGCCTACTACAAGATTCTTGCTGGAAGGTAAGTCTGTCTGTTTAAATGCCTTATTTGGACAGAATTTGTTTTCAGGGTAAATATGTAACTTTTCTGTAGTAATGGAAGTTAATTTGGGGACCTAAAAAAAGTGTTTTATTTTCTCTCTGTAGCCTCCTTCTGGATAAGAGACTAAGAGCTGAATGTAAGAATCAGGGCGCCAACATCTCATGGCCTTCCTCCAATCGTTACGAGACGCTTCTCAAACAGAGACATGTCCAGGTAAGGACAGCCACTGTTCTGTTTACACAGTCATTACTGTTTATTAATGCTGTTTTCAAGTTCGCTCATCTTGTTTTGTCCTTTTCTCTTGCAGCTCCTTGGACGATCGATTGACTTGAACCGTCTGATCACCCAGCGAGTGTCTTCAGCACTGTACAAATCCCTAGAGCTCGCCATCAACCGCTTTGAGAGCGAGGACCTCACTTCCATCATGGTGCCTTATACTTTCAAATCTCTGTTTTTATGGAAATTTGCAGTTTTCAATTTCTTATAGAGAGACCTTGAATTTGCTCAGCTTGTTTTAGCTGTGAATTTGTTAGATATTTGCTCGTTCGGGATTTTTAATGAAAGAGAGGCCACCTCTCTAGCAGAATTGAAATTCAGTGCACCGGGAATAATTTAGCATAGGCTGCCAGAGAGTGAATAATTTTCAATGTTTGCTTCCTATATGCGTGTTTGTGTGCGGGTGCTAATATATAGACATTTGAATAGACGTCTGACTGTGACACATGCATTGCCAATGCATGAAATTGTTCCAAAACTCATTATCGGTTTTCATACAAACTGTTGTTGGAGGTCTATGTGTGCTACTGAATAGAAATGTGTTGTTGGTCAATGTTATTGTTGTGGCAGAAAGTGAGAGGGTATTTGTTTTTCCAATTGATCATCTTTTGTCTGTCTTTGATCAGGAGTTGGAGGGTTTGTTGGATATTAACCGGATGACCCATAAGCTCCTCGGTAAGTATTTGACACTGGATAGTATCGACACCATGTTCCGTGAGGCAAACCACAACGTATCCGCGCCCTATGGCAGAATCACTCTCCATGTCTTCTGGGAACTCAACTATGACTTCTTGCCCAACTACTGTTACAATGGCTCCACGAACAGGTGGGTAGGGGTTGCCCCTTAAATTTTTAATTTAAAAGTTATTTATTTATTTATTTAGAAATTATAATAAAAATGGTTATTTTTAAAGCCCTGATTGGACAAGGATGCGTTTTAGGACATCTGTAAAAAAAAAATTCTGTAGTAAATAGACACATCTGTAAGTGATTGACGTGGCAATTTGTACAGGATCAAAATCACAGAGAATTAATTCTGGTAATTAACACCTTTAATATAATGATAAAAAAAATTAATAATATAATAATAAAATATTAAATACAAATATTAAAACAATTATGCACATTCTACTAATCTTTAATGACAGGGTTGTGCAATAATATAATTTACAATGTCATACATGGACAGCACTTTAACAGCTATATTAGTGTAGACATAACTTTCAGGTTTAAGCTGATGCAATATGTATTCATTAATCCATATTTCAGTTAAACAGATGTGATTGACATTAAAAGTCAAATTGCATAGAAAATGTCTTTGATCACTTGTCAAAAAGCCAGATGCATGAGACTTTTAAATGAAGATGGTGCATTGCTTTCATCTTTAATTTTTAGAGAATGGTTAATTATTAAGTTAATTCATTAGTTATTGATAGTCAGCCTATGCTTAAAGTCTATGATTATTTAAACCAGGAAAAGACTGTTATGTTTTGAGAGACATTTGAGAGACATTCTTGTACATAGATTTTTGTTTGCAGTTTTTGAGAAATGTGTAATTTGCACGAAGTGGAGGCATATCAGTTACCTTTTTATTATTTTTTCTCCTGTGAATTGAGTGTTTGTCTACCTTCTGCAGTTGGATAGATCACTTTCTTTTTTGTCTTTTTTTTTTAACTGTCTAATAACACAAATAAAATCTTTTTACTGAGCACAAGGTGTACAATCTGACCCATATATCAAATATGACTGTAAGTGAGAAAAACAAAGAGAGCTTTGTAAGGAACCATAGTGAGTTGAGAAATATTCCAAAGACTGAATTGTACAGTGTTTAAGATGGGCTGTATAGAACAGGCGTGAAGGTAGGCCATGAAAGAGTCTGAATGTGGCATGAAAAGATGACTAAAGTCATCTTTACACTGTCAGGTTAAGATGTCACAAAATGCTTCAACATTTTGTGACCTTTCAGGGAAGATAGACCTATTGATGACAAATTCATCATAAATGTACCCATTTAGTATCAAAGTGAACTAACACCATCAGGGTTCAGCTGTTGTCTCAATACAGCTCATAACTGGTAGGTGGATGCCATCTCTGGAGGTTACATCTCTTTTTCAGGTTCCAGAAACTGAGTCACACTATTGGCTTCAGCCCTGCATTCAAAAGGTCCCAGCTTGCCCCTGAGAAGTTTTTTTTTTTTTTTGAACGACAATCATTGTGTCTGCTTGATTCTCAGAGTGATGGATGGGTACAGAGAGCCCAGTGATTCCACTTCTCACCTGCTCCTGTTGTATTACACTCACATCCACAAGTCACTTTAACTCCTAAAAGTTGGTCATGTCATATATTTGTAGCTTTTTAAAAAAAATCATTTTCCCTTAGAAACATGTTCCGTCGAAAGCTGCAGTTTGACTTGTGTGATGAGTTTTTTCACTGTATTGTTGCTTGTGAATAGGGCCAGAGTGGACATGCTGATCACAGCCTTATTGAACAGAATTGACAATAACTGGGCGACAAACCCAATAATACAAAAATGGTCAAATGAAGATTTTTTTTTAAACAATTTTTTCCCTTCCTTTAGGTTTGTTCGCACTGTGCTGCCATTTTCACAAGAGTTTCAGAGAGACAAGCCTCCCAACGCCCAGCCACAGTACCTATATGGCTCAAAGGTGGGTTTAAATATCACACCGACATCTATTACATCTCTAGCATTCACTTGAGACAAACTATAACATACAGGGAAATGTTTTTTATTAAGCAAGATTAGATAGGTAGGAAAAGTACATTTCAAGCATAGTAGGATTTCAATGCAGCCAACACAAAACAGACAGACTATCAACTCACAAAGACATTAAAATAAACACTTATATATCCATTAAAGGTAGAGGTGCACTAAGCAATTTAATGTTTTGGTGGCTCTTTTTTTCCTTGCGAAACCAATATGGCGGTGGTGTTTAACTTTAAACTGACACTATACTCTACGGACTACAGACATGATGATGTTGATGGGTGACCCACATTATGTAGAAATATAAATATATAATATAATCTATGCTTCTGATTTGACTGTAACCTTAATCTTGTGTATATTGGAACATTTGGTACTATTTAATAGTGTAAAAATTATCATTTTCAAATAATGATTATTATTATAATAATTATGATTATTATTTTTAAACTATAAAAAAAATTGTGTGTATAAATGAATAAAAATGTTTTAAATAATGTAAATCTAGATTAATTCTGATAACAAATTCATTAACTCATGCTAACAAACTGAACCATTGTAAACGTATAACAAACAAATTACATATATAAATAACTGCAGTTTGTAGAATTGTATTGTAAGCCAAGGGGCCTTCTTCAGTTTCCTTTTTTAATAAGTTAGTGATCTGACATTTTAATGCTAATTTAACCCCATCAGCCCAGCTCGACTGTCAGAGTCTTATTTCCTCAAAATGGTTTCAACCCCGGTGATTGTCCTCATTGTGTAAGTTCTAATAGTTAGAATTTTTGGGGTCAGTGCATCAAAGTAACAATTTGGTGTCCTAGTTATTCTGAGCCGGGGCCAAATCTATGTTTATTACTTGGTGTTCGAAGTTCGCAACCCTGCCCGTTTGCCATTTCTCTGCCGTGCTCGGCTCTAAAAGGATTCTCAATCACCGTTGCGTTCTGAGAGTCTTCCCCGCCACAACTGGGCATGTACAGACTATTTCTTCCTTCGCTTCCCATGTTCCCACCCATGGGGGTCAGAGCCAGGTGTGGAGGGTTCGGACCTGACTGCCTGCCTCTTTCTGGGTCCCTTTTTGCTGGACACATGGTGTGGAGACATCCCCAAAGAAGAGCCACAGCAATGATCAGCAACAGGATGCTGCTGGCCAGCCAGACTCCCATGGCCAGATCCCTGCCACTCTCACCAAGTTCAGTGCCCTCATTTAGAGTACTGAAGACCTGGCACTGCTCTCTGGTGGGATTGGCGGACTGGCAGGTGACACAGAGGATGTACGTGGTCTGTGGACTGAGGTTGCCCAGACTGGTGGATGTCTGGCTCACAGGAACCCTGTCCTCCTGCAGGAAGCTCTTGCGCGTGTAACCCATCAGCAGGCTGTTCCAGTTAGGGTGATACATGACGCTGTAGAATGTGTCTACGCAGCCTGGGGATGACGGCCAGCTGACGATGGCAGAGGTGGCTGTGATGTTTTGAATGGTGATAGTCATGTTGAGTTTGTTTTTCGGTTGAAACTTAGTCTCTTATGCACACACAGTTTGATGATGTAGGTTGGTTTGACCCGACATGCAATGATTTTGAAGTATCTGGAAGAATAGAGGAGGGAAAAAAGCATTCATTCAGATCAGTTCTAACCTTGAATGTAGTACAACAAGACCTTAATAGATTAGTAATGGGCTTGCTTCTGGCATGAAAGCATGTTTTTAAAGAATTGGAAAACTTCAGTTGTTGGTTTCAGGACTGAAATTGATTTTGAATTGAAGTGCTTTTTCAAAAGGATTTAATCAGAATACACTGGCTGAGGACGGGTATATAAAAAAATACAGCTTTGCTATACACACTGCTGATGTTTTGAACATTTGCAGCAGTTGTGTGTTGTACTGTTCTTTTCTGTCTAATTTGTCTTTCATATTGTAATGATTAACATTGAAAATGGTTTTGTAGGTAGGCTTTTTTCATGGTTATATCCTCTTTTGTAATTTCAATTTTCTTTTGTATTCAAGTACAATTGCCCTGCTCTATCATGATGTTAGGAAAAGCAGATTTATCTAGAGGGGAAAAGCACCAGGTTAAGTACAAGAACAGATTTTTTATTTATCCGCCCTGATTGCTTTGTATCAATTTTTTTTCTCTTCAAAACTAGGTATCTAAAGCAGGATTATGTGAATGAGTTGAACAGAAATTTCCAATTGACATTACATCCATATATCCCCTTGTCAAGAAAAAAGTTCTAAAAGATTATCTCAAGTAATTATAAATGAATAGCATTACAGCCCAATAAATATAATTTTGAGGTTACATTTTAAAAATGTTGTGGTATATATAACAAACAATTATTTATTCAGTCTTCACTGTTCTAATATCAGGCATGCATTATGCATGATCAACACTGCTGCTTGATTATTCTTTATTTTATTTTATTTTTCTTTATTTATAAACATTTATTTGTGTTTAACATCATCTGCTATATCGCTTCAAGAATTCTGCTGCTTTGACATTTCTGGATATTTATCTTTTGCTTAAAATGTGAATTAGTTTCTTCATAGTAGTTGCCATAGGTCCTTTTTTTTCTTCTTTGCCGCTCAAGCCTTTGGTTTGTTTGAAGCCCATTAACTCAATCAATAAATCACCACATTGGACTTAATGCGGATGATTGGTGACCCTGTACGCTACACACACATGCTGTAATTATTTGGTAGTCAGTACCGTATGAAAGCTTGAAAACGAATAATTTTGATCTTCCAGAAACACACGGTCAATAACGCTTAGAGAGGTCTGAGGAAAACAGGACGTTTATTCTCTCACCCTACACACTTTCCAGTCTTTTTCAAATCCACACAGCTGCTAAAGATTTTCTTTAGTAGTATTTCAGACAGTACTTGTCTGAATTTTACCATTGTTTACAGGTGAGCCACACCTTTTTTTCCATCAGAGAGACAGGTGTCTCTGGGGAAAACTGAGATTGAGAGGTAAAGGAGCAAAAATCTTACCGTAAAAGATGAGATGAGAGTCACTTCATACACAGATCATCTCGCTGTTGCAGACAGAATCACCCTGAAGCATTCAGAGAGTGTGACCTGTAGCTGTTTCTGTTTGGCATGGCTCAGGTCTCCTGCAGAAAGAGCTCCACATCCACACCGCTGCACAGAAAAGCTCTTCTATCTGATTAGAACAGCAGACGGCACATAAAGCAGAGAGAGAGAGAGTGAGAGAGAGTGCAATGGGGAAGGGGAGACGAATCATCAATGTTTTGCGTAGAATGCATTTTAAACAGAATTACAGCTGGGAGAGCTTGAACTCTCGTTACACATCATTTCTCTCTCAGTCATTGGAGAAGCACATGGCACTTTTCCTCCCCCACTCTGTGCTCAATTACTCCCTCAGACTGGTGACCTGTCTCCCCTGACTCACTGCCACAACACCTACGGACATGTATGCTCATGAATTTATGATTAATCATTAATCGGTCAACTTGCAGTTACTGCATTCTAATTAAAAGAACCGAAGGAAGCTTATTTCTTTCCAGTTCTGTTACTACTCTAAAGTATTTTAGACTTTATGTAATATTGTGAATTATTATTATTGCAATTTAAAGTAATGGTTTTCTATATTTATATACTTTAAAGTAATATTTATTCCTGTAATGCAAAGCTGAATTTTCATCAGCCATTACTCCAGTCTTCAGTGGCACATGATCCTTCAGAAATTATTCTAATATGCTGATTTATCAATGTTGGAAACAGTTGTGATGCTTAACATTTATTTATTTATTGTATTTATTTATTTTTTAACCTATGATACTTTTTTCAGGATTTTTTGATCAATAAAAAGTGAAAAAAGAACAGCATTTATTTAAAATAGAAATCTTTTGTAACAATATACACTACCAAATGTTCAAATGTTTGGGGTCAATAATTTTTTTTGTTTGCTTTTTTTTTTTTTTTAAGAAATTAATACGTTTATTCAGCAAGGATATGTTAAATTGATAAAAAGTAATAGTCAAGACTTATATTGTAAGAAAAGGTTTCTATGTTGAATAAATGCTGACGCGAGTCAGACTTGCAACTTGATCATGTGACACTGAAATAATGTAGTAATGGCTGATGAAAATTATATATATATATATATATGTATATGTGTGTGTTGTTGGCGTACAGTAAGACAGTACAGATTGTTTTCTTTGTAATTAACTAATGTAAGAGACTTTATTATTTACTTTCATTACATGTACACATGACTAAGTGACAAACAAATCAAACTCTGCCTCAACATGAAATCTTGAGTTTTGTTCCAGGCATTCCATAACTTGCTCTCTTTTCTTTTTCATGATGATTCAGGCCTTGAATTTGGCGTACAGTAGCGTATACAGCCTCTACCGGAACTTCCTGGGACCTCCACATATCAAGGCTATTTGCAGACTTCTAGGATACCAGGGCATCGCTGTGGTGATGGAAGAGCTGTTAAAGGTCGTCAAAAGCCTGGTACGTGCATAAGCATGCAAATTGAAGTTTGGGTTTGGAGATCTGGGGGCTTTTGCAAGACCCTGGACAAAATCTTTTTTTTTAATCATCGGCTCTCAAACATGTTAGAAGAAATACATGGTGTATTTAATATTCATGTTCAGCCACATTCCTACTAGAACTTCTCAAATTGATGCCTTAATTCAAATAGTGGAGGAATGTGCTAGCAACACCAAAGTCATGGGTTCGGTTCCCAGGAATGCATGCACTAAAATGGTCTATACCAAATTTCTGTTTTCATGATGCATCAGATCATTTATAAGGATCTTAACTGAATCAGATCATTGTTGGAGCAATTTTTTTTACACCACGAATCTAACTTTAAAGGATAAAGAATAAAAGATAAAGTTCTGGATGTGTGGGCATTAGCAACATTTCTGCTGAAATTGTCATATTGTTTTTTTTTTTTCCTGGTGCAGCTTCAGGGCACCATTCTGCAGTATGTGAAGACCCTGATGGAAGTGATGCCCAAGATATGCCGTCTGCCTCGCCACGAGTACGGCTCGCCAGGTGAAAATTGCATTCTTTGGACACTCTTAATTAAGCAAGCCTTTTATTTTCTGACCCAAGAGAGACACTTTGACCCTGTGTAAATATGAGCTCCCACTATCACCAAATAGAAGATAAGCACTGAATCATTAAGCTTTCATAAATCCAACTGCTGCTGCTGGGCAGATTGGCTGTCTGCAGTGTGTCAATCACACAGTGGTGCTTTTAGCAGAGCTTATGCAGCAGACACTGGGTGTCTTGAACTTAATCAGACCCCTCTAGACTTGAGAAGGTTTGGTAATTGCCTGTTTTTCCCTTTCCTTGTTTGTTATTTCTTTCTGGGTGACTATACTGAGAGGGTGCGCTCCACACTGAAATCATGACTGTGTCTGATTATGTGGGCTTCAGACAGCCTGGACAAAAAGAAATGAAAGGAAAAATGAAGAAAAAATGAAATGAAGTGGGTGGAGGAGAGAGAGAAAGGCAGAGGGTAGAAAAACGGCAAAGAGTCTGTATATGTAGTTAAAGGCTTCTGCTTGTAAGAGCATTACTTATTTTTGGATTCTTGGACATAACAGGAATAACAAAAGAGAGTGCACAGTCAGTAACTGTAGATTCCAACTGTTATTCAGAAATTTTAAAGACTCAGTATATAAGATATACAAGTGAGTTTATGTTTAAAGCAAGAACGAATATGTCAGTGGGGTATGAAAACTTGTTTTCCCTTTAATTAAGTAGATTTTTCTGAGACCATTGGCAGATATTTGTCCTTGTTTGAATCATAAACTCTCTTGATTTAGATAAACTTCTCATCTTGTCATTTTGCTTCTCAAATTAATGTATCTTTATTTAAGAATCTAGACATTTGCACTGGAAAACAAGACAATTATTGAGGAAGAACATGACTTTTTTGCAGTGTGATCAGAAGGATCAGAGTACATATTGATGTTCCCTTGAATTTATTCCTTAAATTTCTTTACCTGATCTTAAAGAGGTCTTAAAATCTTAAATTTACCTACATAAAACCTGCAGAAACCCTCCGCTGGTCAAGTCAAGGTTAGTTTTAGGGCCTGGAACAATGTTACTATCAAATAGTTAATTGTAAAGGGATGCTGATCCAGGAAAAGGATCTGTTCATGTGAATCACTGTGCACTGTGCATATAGAGGAATATTTATACTTCAGTATTTGCTAAAACAACCAAAATGAGGCTGTCATTACAGTGAAAGTATGATTTTGTCTCCCGGATGCAGGTATTCTGGAGTTCTTCCACCACCAGTTGAAGGACATTGTGGAGTATGCTGAGCTGAAGACCGTGTGCTTCCAGAACCTGAGGGAAGTTGGAAATGCTTTGCTCTTCTGCCTTCTGAGTGAACAGAGCTTGGTACGACCACTGAGCATTCACACTATACTGCAGAAAGTTGTTCTCACTGCATCACTAAACCTTAGCTACTGTTGCCACCTGCTATAATCTTTTCTTTAAAGAAGAAATTCCAGCTCATGTAAGAATATCCAATCTTTTTATTACCACTTTCAGTACTTAAACTAAGCAGAGAGTCAATGCCATCACCAAACAGATCATCTTCAGTAGATTAATAATGCGGTTTTGAAATATTTTTCTTAGAGTGAAGAATGTGGTAGTGAGCTAAGGTTTTACTAACTAACTTGGCACCTTTCATATTCTCTTGTGCTGTGACAAGTGACACACAAGATGCATAACTACACTACAATCTTCAATCATGAATGAATCTATTCATGTTTAAACTTTTTATGAATTATTCACGACTCCATGACAGGATATAAATGTACCGTAGTGCGTTAATTAGGTGTGATTAATTATGGAAAAAATAACGTTAAAATTATTAACATATATAACGCAGACTTGTACATCATCTTACATTGCATGCAGTTGTTGACAAACATGATGCAGGGCAATGACTGACTGTGTATTTATCACAATAGTGACTATCTTTTGGAGGGTAATTTCTCAGCCCAAACTGATGTGATTTAATTAGATTAATCAGCACATAATGTAAATAATTAGATTAAATTAATTACATATATTTTTAGTAACGGAGTAATTTCACGTGTTATAATTTTCTTTAGTTATAAATAGTCATTAGAGTATATAAAGTTATAAATAGTCATTAGAGTATAGTTACTAGCCGAGGTCTCTATACGTTACTGCCACGTTACATTGCTGACAGAATGCAGTGTTTTATAAACTAGAGATTGTAAAAAGGATGTAGCACACGCACTGTCGAGTCAAGTGCCAGTGGATTAGAGACCTGCTCCCGCGAGACCTGGTGCGCAGCGCGGGACAAGATAGGCGAGTGCTGCTGCGGGCGGGTAGAGACTCACTCGTGTGTATGCGGGAGAATAAAATGATTCACGGGACTCCTGCAAAATAGAAATATCTAAACATAAAATATCTAAAACAAATAAATTGTTATTCATCTATTGCACAAAAGCAACATGAACTAATATAAAATATAAACGATTAACAGGTGCATGCGTATGCAGAGTTTCTATTTAGGCTATAACACGTGTTTGCAGCGTTGAGCAATGCAGTGCTGAAATTTGCGTGCTCACGAATCCTCTCATAACACACGAATTGTAGACATTATGAAAGATTATGCATATATTTATTGTGTTATAACAGATTTGTGGGATTGCGATGAACTGAGATGTTTTTTAGAGATTATAAATGCAGCGCTCTTTGCTGGCATTCTGCCAAACCATGCACGCAGCAGCCGCTTGCTTTAGTTAAAAATAACAGTGTTCTGTGAATGTTGATGCTTTAATAACATATTTATCGGGAGCGTGAATGCTGGGATTTCATAAATTTCATGGAGAAAAAAGTAACGTAACTAATTACTAATTACTTTTGAAATAAAGTAATCAGAACAGTAACGTGATTACTTTTAAAAGAAGTAATCCATAATCAGTAATTTGATTACATTTTCAGAGTAACTTGCCCAACACTGCACACATATCCATTCACATATATACATTAATTTTACATATGTATATAATGTGAATATACATTTTGTATAGTGC